TGGAAAAGCATCAAATGTTCTTAACTGCTAAGCCATTTCTCCAGCACTGTAACTTGTTTTAAGCCAGTATATTCTGGGTGATTTGTTATGCATTAGTAATATCCCTATAGTGTGAGAATTTCTGCTTCAAGAAAAAAAAAATAAAAGCCTTGAGAATATACACAGTCTTATGCATCTAGCTTAAATGAGTATAGAATTAATCTTAACTTGGTAGACAAACTTCAGTGGGAGAGAAAGAAACAATGGACTGATAAACGAACAAACAAACAAACAAATGGGGCTGGAGAGATACTAATGGGTTAAGAGCACTTACTGTTCTTATAGAGTACCTGGTTATGGTTCCCAGTACCCATGGTGGCTCACAACCATTCATAACTCCAGTTCTAGAGTATGTGATGCCTTCTTCTTACCTTCTTGGATATCAGGCACGCACATGGTACATATATATATATATGCATTCAAAATACTCATTTACAAAATAAAATAAAATAAACTTTTGGGTTCTCTATGTATCCCTGGTTGTCCTGGAACTTGCTCTGTACACCAGGCTGGCCTTGAACTCACAGAGATCTGCCTGCCTCTGCCTCCCGAGTGCTGGGATTAAAGGAATACACCACCACTGCCTGGTTTAAAAAAAAAAAAAAATCTTTTGAAACAAACAAACAAACAAAAAAAATAAGTAATTTTTCTCAGACTTTCAGTACTAATGAAAACAAATGAAAAACACACACACCAAAACCCCCCCAACCCCAACATTCTACAAAGTAACAGAGGTGGTTATCTCTTAGAGAGTCAAGAGCACTATTTCGAGATGCAATCCGATTTCTACTTTTGAGTCTACATCTTTATGTGGGCATATGCGCACATGCGTGCTGCTGTGTGTGCATGTGGAAGCCAGCCCCTGATGTTAGGTGTCTCCCTCAGCTGATCTTCACCCTATTTTTTGAGATAGGGTTTTTCATTGAACCCGAAGCTCATGATTTTGCTAGCCTAGCTGGCCAACAAACTGCAGGGATCTTTCTGTCTCTGTCTCCCAGAGCTAGGATTACTTTTGCGTGAATGCTGGGGATCTGGACTCAGTCTCGTGTGCTTACTGACTGAGCTATTTTCCTAGCCCCTGTGACTTTTAGAACTGCAAGTTTTTTAGTCCAATCCCCTATTTTCATAATTGATTAAAAAAAAAAAAAAACCCTTGGAGTAAGATGACCAGTTGATACAAGTACTGAGGCCAAGGCCTGTCACGGCATCAATATTCCCCTACTGGACCCCACTTTGAGTTTGCATGCAAAACATGCAGCCCAAACTATGGAAGTTTGATATTACAAATGAATGGTATCTACACTGCACAGTAAAAAAAAAAAAAAAACAGTTATCCTAACTTCCCATGTATAAGAAGAAAATTAATGGATTCCCCAACAGAAGTCTAATCTGAGAGCATGGAAGATGAAGGTATAGGAAAAGTAAAACAGAACTCAAAGAGATGGATGGTGCTACCTCACTAAGGATGACCAGTTATCTTTTCAAAACAGGGTATTCCTGCAGAAAGTTAGGGCAAGCAAGTAGAATGAATGAAGGATCTATGATTTTTTTTTTTTTTTATTCTTGTTTACTTGGCTAGATTGGCAAATTCTAGGAACTTCAACTATACTGCCAAGAAAACTTAAGTTTCAAAGCCTTGTCCTTCTGTGGATCACTCAGTTCTCTTGGAGAGAACAAGTTTCTATCTGTCAAATGTCAAGAAGTAGCTGAGTACAGAAATCTGGGAAGCCTCAGCTCTCACACCCTAAACAAAACTAACTCACGATGAACCACGACCTTAATAAAAAACCTTAAACCTTGGACTGGCAAGACTTCTCAGTGGATAAAGGCACCTGTCACCAAGTCTGATGACCTGAACTTGATCCTGGGGACTCACATGGTGGGAGAAGAATGGAACCCTGAAAACTGTTCTCTGAGCTTTTCCATGTATGTTATGTAACATCCAACCACAACAATTAAAAAAAAAATGTAAAAACAAAAACAATTCTCTCTTCATCTACCTATCTCTTAAGATCCTTGTTGGGTAAAGGTCACACAGAGACTCAGTATTCTTATTTGTGGAGGTGAAAATCTCCTTCTAAGCATTCTCTTGATGTCATAGTGTTCTGCTTTACTATGGGCCCAGAATCAATGACACGATGAACAGCAGACTGAGCCTGTGGGCCTTTACCAAATTATTACATAAAGCACGGGCTAACTTGGATCTCTAGAATCTACATAAAGGTGGAAGGGGAGAACCAATCCACAAAATTGTCCTCTGATCCCCACATGTAGAATTTACACGTTATACATATACACAATAATAAAATAATAACAAAACAAAAACATACCAAAAATAAAAAAAAATTCCTGTCAACAAAGGAACACACTTATACATAAAGCCTATCATTTTATTTGGTTGGGCGTCATGATGAAATGTGTAAGTATTCCACATTTGCTTGCTTTTACAACCTGGAATGATAATTCTAATCTTTGGTGTACTGGCTGGTTTTGTGTGTCAATTTGACACAAGCTAGAGACATCAGAGAGGAAGGAGCCTCAGTTGAGGAAATGCTACCATCAGCCCATTGTGGGCAGTGTCATCCCTGGACAGGTGGTCCTGGGTTCAATAAGAAAGCAGGCTGAACAAGCCATAGGAAGCAAGCGAATAAGCAACACTCCCCCATGGCTTCTGTGTCAGCTCCTGACTCCAGGTTTCTGCCTTGTTTCATTTAGTTCCTGTCCCGACTTCCTTTGGTGATGAACAACAATGTGGAAGTGTAAGCTGAATAAAGCCTGTCTTCTCCAACTTGCTTTTTGGTCATGGTATTTTGTTGTTGCAACAGAAACCCTAAGACATTTGGTATGCATCAGAATTATTCCAGAAGCATAAAAAAAGTACCAGCGCTTGGAGTCTACCCCTACTGAATCACAATCTGCTCTAGAATCTCCATTAAAATTATTATTTTAAATTAAATGCATGAATGTGCATCTCTGTGTGGGTATGAGCATTTATGTGCAGTTGCCCATGAAGTCAAGAAGAGGGTATCATATCCCCTTAATAAGAGAAGATGAGCCTAGTCCTACTGCATCTTGATATGCAAGGGGTTGATATGCTTGGGTTGATACATATGAGAGGCCTTCATGAAGGGAATAGGGAGAGGGAGAGGGGAGGAGTAGAAGCTATGGGGAGAGGGGAAGTGAGGGAGTAGAAGCTGCCACAGGATGTAAGTAAGTAAGTAAGTAAGTAAGTAAGTAAGTAAGTAAGTAAGTAAGTAAGTAAGTAAGTAAGCAAATAAATAAATAAATAAATAAAATCTGTAAAAAAATGTTGAGGCATCCAAGGTAATTTCAGTAAGGACAAGTCATCCACTTGTTGGGCTGGTGAACTGGAACTGGTAGCACAAGCTGTGATCCCCAATGTTCTAGAGATCAGGGCAGAAGGGTCAAGACCTCAAGTCCTGCCTGGGTGACAGCATACCACTCTGTGAAAAGGGGAAGAGAGCCAGGCAGTGGTGGCACATGCCTTTAATCCAAGTATTCAGGAAGCAGGGACAGGTAAATCTCTGTGAGCTCAAGGCCAGCCTTATTTACAGAGCAAGTTCCAAGACAGCCATAGCTACACAGGGGAAACCATGTCTCAAGAAACAAAAGCAAAACAAAAATGAAGAGAGTGGGAGAAGGGAAGGAAATAAAGAAAAGCCTATGGGAATTTATTGTGAAAACATGGATGAGCAAAGCTTTGTGGGGTGATATTGTTATGTTCTAGAAAGGAGGAACAGAGAATAAGAACTTAGGCAAGGAAGAAGTAAAATTTTACCCTTCTGGTAGAATTTTCAAATCTACATGATGTAACATCCATTTCATACTCCCCTCCACTTTTGTTGTGGGGGCATGTGTGTGTGCGTGGGTGTACTGGCTTGAAGAATGCCGAAGCCAGAAATGCATATCAGTCTTCCTCAATCACTCCTCCACCTCATTAAAAACAACAACAACAACAACAACAACAACAACAAATATATGAGTGTTCTATCTGCATGTACACCTGCATGCCAGAAGAGGGCATCAGATCCAGTACAGATTGCTGAGAGCCACCATATTGGAAACTGAACTTAGGACTTTGGGAAGAGCAGACAGTGCTCTTAATGGCTGAGCCATCTCTCCAGCCTGTTTTTTTTTTGTTGTTGTTGTTTTGTTTTTTTAAATAAATGGTGATAGCGTGAACATGGAACTTATGTTTCCACTAGACTAGCTGGAAACTGAACTTTCAGGTCCATTTGCCTCCTCCCTCCAACACTGTGGTTACCCGCCTAGCCACAGCTAGCTTTTTGTGTATACTGGGGATCTGAACACAGGTTCTGGTGCTTATTCAGCAAACACTTCCAATGAACCATCTCCCAATCCCTCATGCTTTGTCTTGCTGTTTTAAACACATTTTAATAATTCTGGAAAAATTTGATATAAATATGTTCACAGCTTAGCCCATATTCTGACAGTCCAATCTGTGACAGAATCAAAGGGTACAAAAGTATACCTGTGACCACAGCAAAGTTTATTCTTTCTTTTTTTAAAAGACAGGGCTGGCCTGGAATGTTCTACCAGCCTGACCACAAACTGACAAAGAGATCTGTCTGCCTCTGCCACCTGAGTGCTGGGATTAAAGGCATATACCCTCATAACAAACTTCAGAGTTCATTCTTTTAGCTGGGCTATCGCTAAGAAACAGGAATTATTTGCATTGTTATACTTCTAACTTCTGGTCAAAAAACTGGGAATTTCACTCTGTTGTAACATTTATGACCAACATTTCAACCAAAAGCCTTAAAACTGTCAAAAGCACACAAACATTTTCTGAAGTTAATCACAAAGATCAAGAGCTCTATCATTTGTATTTACCTCCATCTCCTTACTTCCCTGCTTTGTAGACCTGGAGCATTAAAAGAGAAACACTCAAATGACTCTTAAAGATGATGGATATTTACCTGATCCCTGTTGTTGATGTTTGAATAAGGTAGCTGGCCAGTCATCAGTTCATATAGAACAATCCCGAATGCATACACATCTGACTGAAAGCTATAAGGGTTTTTGTCTTGCATTCTGATTACTTCTGGTGCCTGTTAGAATATAAGAAGGAAAAATTCTAGTTTATCATTAATTTCAGCTGAATAAAGACTGAAACACAAAGTACGATATTTCCCAGAGTAGCACCTTATTTGAAGAAAGTATCTAGCAGCTGGGCACATTGTCCCATGTTTGTAATCCCAGCACTCTGGAAGGCAGAGGCAGGCAGATCTCTAGGAGTTAAGAGGCTAGCCTGGTCTACAAAGTAAGTACAGGATAGCCAAGGCTACACAGAGAAATCCTATCTCAAAAAACCAAAACCAAACCAAACAAACAAAAAATAAATCATCAACTATAATATGCCTACTAATGGTCAAAAAAATAAAACCAACTAAGATAAAGGGGAAAAATCCTGCTGAATAAATTCTGAATGAGTTGATTTGAGCTGGGATTCTATGATGCATTACTAAGATTTTATAATTTTATCAGCAACCCTGTTTCTGAACAAACATCATCATTGCCATGTGACCATTTCAAGACTATCCTATCAGAATTAGTCTCTACTTTCTACTCTAAATTGGCAAAGAAATACTAGATTTGCACTTATAAAAAGGCTTAGAAGTAGGTACAAGAAATTAACTTTTGTGACTAGTATAAATGATTTTCCTCAACTCAGGGCATATTAGAAAATAATGGTAGAATTTAGAGGCTGATAAATTCAAACATCCTTCTAAGTTATATCATAAATATATGGTATTAAAAATGTTTTATTAAGCCAGGTGTGGTGGTGCATGCCTATAATCTCAGCACTTAGGGGGCAGAGGCAAGTAGATCTCTCTGAGTTCAAGGCTAGCTTGGACTACAAAGCGAATTCAGGACAGCCAAGGCTACATAGAGAACCCTGTCTCAAGCCCCCCCCCCCAAAAAAAAAAAAAAGCTTTATTTACAAAAGAAACATAACAGGTCGACTTGTTAGAAAATCATATAAAGAAAATTTTAGTTGCTGTTTCTAAGGCAAACAAAGACCAAATCTTATTTATCAAATTTTAACATAATTTAGTCACAGTACTGTACAACTCAGTGTCGTATTTATATGAAATACAATTAATGACTGGGGAAGAATTAGGGTTTTTCCCTTCACTTTGCATCTCTTATCTGTTTTGTGAAAGGAACTGAATAAGTGGCAAAGGGTGTTAATAAAATGCTGCAGAACAGCAGGCTCCTGGCCTTCACACGGTGAGTATCTACTGCAGAAACAGTGCTATTGCAGCTGCCAGTCAGAACTGCCTATGGAGCCTGCTCAGTGCTGACTGCATCTATGATACAGAACATAGTCATAAGTGGGATCACACATCCCCGAGCTTTAGAGTTCCACACATGACTCTGCTGTCCTCCCAAAGTTAAGGAATACCGTTGGAAGATCTATGGAAAAACCTGGAAAGTCAAGGGATAACAGTGGAGAAGAATGTTTTCTCCACTTGTTTTTGTCATATGTTTTGTTGACAGCTGCTACTTTAGTAATATGATATAAAATAAACCACATACAAGGGTGATGAAATGAAAAAACAATTTTGGGGTCGTGGGGGAATAGAGTTTAGTTCAGCTGAAGAACTGTCTTTTAAGTTTTAGTGTGCTTTCACTGCTAGTAGATGGCTAGATGAAAAGTCAGATGTCATCTACTAAAATGTGTGACAGATCTTCAATCTGTTAATTTATAAAATTTTTCAGACACATTTCTTTCTTCTAAGATATAAATAAAAGTAGAATAGACCACTGTAAATAATTCAGAGGACCACATGGCCTGGTGTATGACCAAATTATTATTTCAGGTTGTCGATCTCTCACACCCTCAAAAAATTATTTATTTATTGAGACAGGAACTATGTAGCTCTGGCTGTCCTAGAACTCACAGATGTTCACCTGCCTCTGCCTCTGGGATTAAAGGCATGTGCTACCACAAATGGTCTATTTACTTTAATTTTTATGTGTGTGGGTGTTTTGCCTGAGTATATGTCTGTGCCACTGTGGAGGCGAGAAGAAGGCATCAGATTTGCTCTAACTGGAGTTTACAGAAAGGGAGTTGTCATTTGGGTGCTGGGAATTAAACCCAAGTCCTCTGAAAGATAAACCAGAGCTCTTTACAGCTCCTCATATATATATATATATATATATATATATATATTTCCCCCCCCCCCATTTTTGGCTATTCTGGTTCTGTTAAAATTCAGCATGGTTGAATAGAAGATGAGCTCATTGATCCAGGGTATCAACAAAAAAAGTAATCATAAGGAAACAAACAAACAAAAAACCCCACCTTGTCTAATACTCTACTAATTACATAAACTAAAGCTTTGGAAAAAGAACAATCCTAGAGACTGGATCTAGACCAACTCTTGTACTATTGTTAAACATACTGTAGAAGCATGTGAATGATGTCTTCAAATTTGCTTTACAATTTCAGAACAAAAATTCCCCTCCCCCGTCTCCTTTGGGCACACTGCCACCTTTGTTAGAAATATGTGCCTTACAGGTGGCAGAAAGCCAGACCACAACCATCAATTACTCTCTTCTAATTGATTAGAAATTAACACATATCAAAGAGTTTTAAAAGAAACATAGCTGACTGTAATACAGAGTCTAGAGGTCTTCCCATCCTTGAGTCTGGCCTCACATTTCAGATGAAGAGGCTCCAGGAAGGCTCGGGAACGTTGATGTTAACATAGAGGACAGCTCTGCACAGCAGACTCTTCTTGCCCACTTTGCCACTTGCACTAACTTCATTCCTGATCCCAGAAAGCATACTAAATCTAACCGGAAGTTTATTTCGACAAACTTAGACCACTAGTTGGAAAGTCTGTTTCTTCGAGACTGCTACCAATATATTGTTCTGGTTATTTAGGCAAATATGGCTTTAAACGCCCTTCTAACTTTTCTGTTTTAGTAGGGTGAGATAACAGTGTTAGGGAAGATTAAACTACTTAAAGATTAAAACTTAAAGACTAAAATTGCATAAAGATTCTTAGAACACCTGTATTCAGCTTAGACTTGGTATTTCAAAAGTTCTTTAGAGCAAGATTGTTTCTATTCAAATATGAGTGAAGATCCTACAGAGTGTTTGATTATATGGACTACCTCTGTGAGTATTTAATATATTAAACCTCAACTGACTTAAATTATTTACTAATTCATTTAAATATTAGATATTAGCAGAAAGCACCTACTATTAATGAAACTTAACTATAGTTTAAAAAAAACAAAGAGTTTAGTGCCAAGAGTTCCAATTCTCTCTAGTACCTGCCTTACCAGTAGCTAGCAGGACTCTAGTATTTGCTTCTATATTCAATCAGCTGCTGTAAGGCACTTTGAAGTACAGGAGGCAAAAGAAAAGACCCTCTGAAAGGTTACATAGAACCACTGTGGGTTCACAGCAGGTTCCTAGAAACGACTCAACAGCGTGCTGCAGTAGCTGTGTTCTCATCTGTCAGAACCTCTTCTACAAAGCAGAAACAAGGAGAGAAAGGCTTGTGCAGACAGCACAGGTTGACTAAAACATCCTATCTTTTCCTTTGTCTTTCCTCTTCTAGTTACCCCATAATTATAAAGGTCTTCCTAGTGTTAAGTCTACTTACAATTTAGGCTTAAATAAAAGAGTGAAACAGCCTTTCTGTTAAGAATAGCATTCTCTCTCTCTTTCTCAAAGAAGAGGTCTCTTAATATATGCCTTAAGCTGCAAACCTTAAAAAAGAACAGGATACACAAACCATTTGAACATATTTGTTTTTAATCTTTGTTTTGTTTTTAGGCAGGATCTCATCCAACTCTGGCTGTCTTGAACTCACAGAGATCCACCTGCTTCTGCCTCCTGAGTGCTGGGATAAAAGGTGTGAACCACCAACATCGCAAACAAAGTGTTTTAAACAATTTTCAATTAACATCTAAACATTTTATAATGTATATGTATTTTGTTCAAATATACTGAAACTGGTTTTGCAGTATTTTTTAAAGACAAGAAAAAAAAGACTACATAAAAAATAAAATTGATTCTTTTGTTTGTTTGTTTGTTTTCTTTCAAGACAAGGTCTCATTATGTAGCTTTGGCTGTCCTAGAACTAAGCAGACCAGGCTGGCCTCAAACAAACATATCCACCTGCCTCTGCATTCCTAGTGCTGGAATTAAAGGCACATGCCATTAAGCCTGGCCTACAATACTATTAGTGGGAACTGAAAAAATACTGTAGTTAAGATCTTCAGTGACTTTCTAGTAACTAGTTAGTAGCTTAGGATTCAAGAATGTGATCAACTGAGAAATATTCTCAATTCTTACCATCCACAAAATAGATCCAGACAACTGTTCAAACTGATGGGACCCACTCCATCGAGATTTCACTGTGGCTAGACCAAAATCACCTATTTTTACCGTGAGGTCTTCATGAAGAAATATATCTGAGGTGCAGTAAGTAAAGGAAAAAAAAATAATAGAATTCATTTTCCTACTAGAAAAAGCATTCTGAAGATTTCCGTTAAAAGAGCTGGTTTCTATAATTTTGTAGTAATATTTTCTTTTCAAAATAGTGATTCATATTTCTTCTGAAAGTCAACAAACATGTTTTAAACAAGAATTAGTTCTAGTTAGCTTCTATGACCTGCCTTTAAGATTTCTCAGTACTGAACTATGTGAGCATAAGGTTAAGGTGCCTTCCTAAGCCTATGGGAGATCTGGGAACTTTCTAATTTACTTTGGCCCAGATATCCTGTAACACCATGCAGCCTTTCCTACAATACAGATGACATCAGAAAGGAGCTGTGTGCACTCAAGAGACAAAAGAAGAACTGTTTTCTTCATGCCACTGTTACATATTTTGACCCTTCAGATTCAAATTTCAGCTACTACTGAGCAAAATTAGATGAATGAAAGCAGTTGCCACAAAATATCCACTTTATAGGGCATAAAATGTAAGCAAGGAAAAGGTCCTACTATGATAAAGACTTTTAACAGACTTTCCTATAGTGTCCAGTCATTATGAAACTCGATCAGATTGTATCCTGCTCTATTATGCTCTCATGCAAATTGATTCATTTTTTTTATAGCATATTAAACTTAGCACAATACTGTTTTTACATAACATGAAGACAAAATGCAGAAGAAAAAGTCAGGGTGCTTTCAGACTTCGCAGACCAATTTCAGGAAGGATACTATTACTCTTGAGGTCTCTGTGGATGATTGACTTGGCGTGTAAGTAACTGAAAAACAAAACATTTTAACCTAAGTAAGACTTGAGTAGGACTCTGGCCTCAAAATTTACAGAACATGCTTGGGGAGTAAAGACTTATTTAGAATAATGATACAACTGAAATTGTTATATTGTAATAACCTCTTTACATAATAATTGATGGTAAATTTAGGATTACAGAAACATTTCACTATTATATACAGCACAAATCCTGTTGTATATAAGAACTCTGCTCTATCTTTTACTAGTTACAAATACAAACCTTTCAGGCAGTCAGGTCTATTTACTTGTGTCTTTGAAATACATCTTAATAGTACTCCCATCTCTTTCAATGTTTCACTCCTGTATCTGTCCCCAAATCAGCTTCCATTCTATTTTTCCACCTATTCGTACTGTAAGATGAACATTCTTCTTTTCTCACAAAGAACCCAATGGAAAGTTATCTTTCACTGTTCAATTATGTAGTAAGAAATGCAATAGCTTGATCCTTGTTTTGCTTTGTTTTTCATGTGCCTATGCTTGCTTTCCATTTAGAATACAAACTCCATTAGTCTATGAAGGTTTGGTAAAGACAGATAATTTTAAAGGAGGCATAATATATTCTTAAAACTTATTAGTACTAGTAAGGAAGAAATTTTCTCATAATGACATTATATTATTACCATTATGATGATGATGATGGTGGTGGTGGTGGTGGTGATGTCTTTTTTTGAAACAGGGTCTCACTATGTAGCTCTGGCTGTCTTGGAACTCACTGCATACACCAGGCAGGCCTTGAACTCACAGAGATCTGCTTGCCTCTACCTCTTGAGTGCAAAGACTAAAGGTGTGTGCTACCATACCAGCCAACATTATATTATTTTAAAGTCAATGATAAGTCACCTATCCTTAGTTATTTTCCTAAACTGTCCCTAAAAACTACTTTTGATTTTTATTTCCAATAAATGAAACAGGACCTGGCAGTTATGAAGTATTCAATACATGCCTGTCAAATCAACTATAACAAATACAAATTATCTGTCTTGTTACTGGAGAAACAGATGTAAAGGACTTCTGAAATCTAACAGTGACCATATTAAGTTCTGACTTAAAATCAGGATATAAAAGCAAAATCATGTCATGAGCACTATTAAAATAGACTTATAAATAGTTCTGACTGTTCGCTTCTTTATTAAATGTTCTCATTCTTCAGACATCAAGATCTATAACAATTTTTTGGAAAAAAATTTCATTTTCAATGTTATCAAAAGTAACCCTTTCTCCCCATTATCCTCTCAATTCATGCTACCTCCTCCACAACATTTATTACAATCTAACATGATCTTGCCATGACTCTGCGCTTCTGCTACGTCACTACAGCTACTTTCCTTACAGCAAAGAAAACTGAGAGGTCAGTTACAGGTCTCATCTGCTTTAAATCTTTTAAAGATTTATTTTCTTATTTATGTGTATGTATGTGTCTCTACATGCCAGCCACACACATGCAGATGCCTATGAAGGCCAAAAGAAGGTGTGAAGAAAACAGAATCCCTGGAACTACAGTAATGAGCAGTTATGAGCTGCCCAATATGAGTTTTGGGAACTGAACCTGGGTCCTCTGGAGGAGCAGCAAAGCATTCTTTTATCTATTTATTTATTTATTTATTTATATTAATTATAGTTTATTCACTTTGTATCCCCTCTGTAGCTCCTTCCCTCCTCCCCTCCCAATCCCAGCCTCCCTCCCCCTTTTCCAACCATGCCCCTCCCCAAGTCTACTGATACAGGAGGTCTTCCTCTCCTTCCTTCTGACAGCAAAGCATTGGTAACTGCTATCTTTGTTATCCTGCTTTGGAATTTTAAAAAATGCCATAAAAGGTAAGGAAAAAAATTTTTTTTTTTTTTAGAATGGGAAGATCTTGAATAAATGAGGGGGGGAAGGAGGTAGAGTAATGAAAGTGCTGGAATGGAGTGAAGGACTTCAACCAAAAAGATATGGAAACTAAACAAAGCAAAAGCATTCTCCCTTTATGAGGCAGGGTCTTCGTCTTCAGCTCACACTGGCCTTAAACTCATAGCAATCTTGCCTCCACTTCCCAAGAGCCGAAATTATAGACTCAAGCAACCATGCCTAGCAAAATTATTGGCCTTCTAGTCAGGAAGCTATTGCTGTTGTTTTCTAAATGGACATGATGTACCCATTAAACATAACTGCTTACGGCCAAAGAGAAGTTTTGTTGCTTGATCAGGATGTAGTGTAACTCACTGTAGTGGGCCAGTGGGAACTCACTGCAGATTCATAACTGGTCAAAGTGCCGAGAATGACTGTTGGTGTTCAGCCATAAACAAGACATCTCTATTGTCTCCACCAAGGAAGGAACAAAAAGAATGTAAGATCTGGAGGACTGGAGTGGAGAGCTGTGTGAACACTGACTTTTGTGTGCTGATTATCTCCATAGCATCTGCATGAAATTAGGTCTACATCAGCATTGTGTCACGGAAGGGTTGAGGGGATCATAGATCCCAAATCACTACAATAATAAAAGGGAAGTATATAAAAAATATGGAGACATGATAAAGAGAAGGGGAAAAAAAAGGTGTTCCATGATAGGTGGCATTAATCACTTTCAGAAATGTGAAAGCATTTTTTTCAGAAAGAAAAAAGCAGGTAAATTTTAACTGAAGGTTGAGGAGAGAAAATTTAGGGCCAGGAATTTGGTAGATACTGATCAAGATATATCTGATTGCTAACCAGTGGCATTTTGGTTAGTGAAACCTAGGGCAATCCTAACAGAGTCCAAAGTTACAACAGCTGCTTCAAATTGACTGTAATTCTTTATAGTACAAACTGCTTTGGTAAGTTTTATCTAGAAATTTCTTTCTGTAATCAAAGCTGCAAAAGAGTAGAACAGGTCTGTATAATGGAAAGCTGGAAGAAAAAGGAACTCTATTTTCCCAGCTAGAAAAATGGGTGAATACCACACTCAATATCTACAGCATACAATATTTCAAAGTAATCACTACACTAAACAGTTCTACACAAATTACTGCTAAAACATACTTTACTAAGCTTGGAGTTAGTAATAAGTACATGAGTACTTAGTATTAAGTACATAGTTGGCTGGGAGTAAAGAAGAGAACGATATTCAATAAACTCTGACACGATGCTGAAGTGTATCCACTGTTTAGGGTGATTACAATAGAGTTCCCTCCTGCCTTCTGAATACATTTACTTAATTTAGTGCTTGTGCATGTGCCCACCACTGTATGTGTGGGAGTCAAAGGTCAGCTTACAGAAGTCAGTTCTCTTTTTTCACCATGTTGGTAGTGAACATTTAACTCAGGTGATCAGGCCTGGAGGTAAGTGAGCCATATTTGTGACCAATCCTTTCTAACTTTTTAATATGTTAGAACAGTACAATTTGTGTGTGTGTGTGTGTGCGTGTGTGCGTGTAGCACTAGGAAAGAACAAACGTGCTATCAAATAAGTACCATACTCTCTTCACAAGATCCTCTCGTCAGTCTTTCTAGGAGGAAGTGTGTATTTACCAAATCTACCCATATGACTGCAAAGCACTTGATAAAATGTCTTTGTTCTATGTCTTTCAAAAACCTTACACAAGATTTACCTTTTCAATATTCTTTAGAGAACAGAAGATGATGCCCCAAGTTAAGATACTTCAGATTTGATCTGACCAACACAAACTAGGCTGAGATTCTTACCTTCATCTCCCTTTTGATAGGCATAACATCTATAATCAAGTCATACTCATTCTAGAAATCCCATAAGAGTATATTTAATTACAATCCTACAGTAATTTTTCTGACTTGCTTCTATAAAATACTTTCTTGATCCTGTATTTGTATATTTTCTTCTTTGCAGATAGATAGGATTTTGTTTTGAGACATGCTCTAAAATTTTAACTTATAGATTTAGTTTCCAGCTGGATATGGTGGTCCCTGTCTGTAAGCACAGCCTGTAGTTCAGTGTAAAAAAAAAAAAGTGTTGCAAAATAAACAGCAGCAGCAACAGCAGCAGCAACAACATCCCAAAACAAACCCTACCCCAAACCTCAAACTAAAAAGTTTCTTTGAAGAATTTTTACTTATTCATATTCTGGGACACAATTCTGCTTCCTAAGCTGGCCTTGAATTGACAACAATTCTCCTGCCTCATCTCTTGAATGCTGGGTTTACAGGTGCCCTACGGTGGTAGGTGGTAAATGGTAAGCCTTAGGATCAGAATGCTAATAACTTCTTACATCAGTTCTTTTTAATTTTTATTGTTATTCTTTTGATGGATGTCATCCAGTAGTCCTAGATGGCCAGGAACTTAGTATGTAGTTCAGGTTAGGCTCAAACCTATGGTGATTCTTCTGCCTCAATATTCTTAGTGCTGAAAACACAGGAGTGGGCTGGTTACCAGACCTAGCTACCAGTTACTTTTTGTTGTTTTTTGAGACAGCATTTCTCTGTATAGCTGTGGCTGTCCTGGAACTTGCTGTGTAGACCAGGCTGACCTTGAATTCACAGAGATCTGACTGCCTCTGTGGTGCTGGGATCAAAGGCGTGTGCCACCACTGCCCAGCTCTATCAGTTACTTTTAAGAAAGCTCATCACAGGGCCTGAAGAGAGGGCTCAGAGTTAAAAGCACTGGCTGCTCTTCTAGGGAACTTGGGTTTGATTCACAGCACCACAGGGAAACTTATAAGCAACTTTGGCTCCAGTTCCAGGGGGCCCAACACCCTCTCCTGGTATTGCATATATATTTTGCACTTACATACATATAGACAAATACATACATATAGACAAATCATACATACATACATATAGACAAATCACCTATATAATACAAACAATATGTAAAAAGGCTCATTATATTTAAGAGGAATGAAGTCAGAAATCTCCTAGTTTGCGTTCCTTGGGTACAAAATCATTCATCCAATTTTGACACAATTAAATTCAGCTGCTTGTGTTTCATTTCTTTAAGAATAGCATGCAAGATACCACTCAAATGCTTTGAAGAAATTA